TAAGGTGGTGTGCACTGACCAGTATATACCGTTGATGTCAACAAGTTGATTCACTTTAATGAATTTTTTTTTGCTGTGAACTTAATCCTAATGGAGGCACCATCATCTCACCTGTGCAGCCTGCTCTGCCTGTGTCTGGCTGAGCTGGGTTTGCAGAGTGTTAATGAGTTCTTCCTTTTCTTGAAGCACCAGGACGAACTTCTCCATCTCTGCAGAACTCTTATGAAGAATTTCTCCATCTCTGCAGAACTCTTATCCAAATGCAGGGGGAAAGTATTTGCTTAAGCAAAGCGGCTGGCATTTTCACGTCTTTGACTCTCCTTTGTCTTTAATACCTGCCATATTCCTTCTAATTTCCACTTTGACACACAAAAAACTGGGAGACTGCTATGCATACGCTGCATAGTTTGCATCGCTAAACACATTAAGCTACAAAAGTCATAAAATGAGATCCCTCCAAAATAAATATTTCATTTTAATATTATTTAACTAAAATTTAAGGCTGAATTATAAGTTACTTTTCATTATATACAGGTTTTTCTTTTTGTCTGACTCTTATATCCGATGAGATTCAAGTTTATCTATATGTGTGTGTGTCTGCATGAGTTTATGTGCACCACATGTATAAAGGCCCCCTTGAGGCCAAAAGGCATCATGAACCGAAGTTACAGGTGGTTATGAGCCACCTGGTGCTCGTGCTCGTGCTGGGAACCTAACCTGGGTCACCTGCAAGAGCAGTGCTCCTAAACACCAAGCCATTTCTCTACCCTCTCAAGTGAGATTTTGCTAAGGTGGTGTGCACTGACCAGTGTATACAGTTAAGCGGCTGGCATTTTCATTTCTTTGACTCTCCTTTGTCTTGAATCCCTGCCTACCCTCTCAAGTGAGATTTTGCTAAGGTGGTGTGCACTGACCAGTGTATACAGTTAAGCGGCTGGCATTTTCATTTCTTTGACTCTCCTTTGTCTTGAATCCCTGCCTACCCTCTCAAGTGAGATTTTGCTAAGGTGGTGTGCACTGACCAGTGTATACAGTTAAGCGGCTGGCATTTTCATTTCTTTGACTCTCCTTTGTCTTGAATACCCGCCATATTCCTTCTAATTTCCAATTGGACACACAAAAAACTGGGAGACTGCTATGCATACGCTGCATAGTTTGCATCGCTAAACACATTAAGCTACAAAAGTCATAAAATGAGATCCCTCCAAAATAAATATTTCATGTTAATATTATTTAACTAACATTTAAGGCTGAATTATAAGTTACTTTTCATTATATACAGGTTTCTTTTTTTGTCTGACTCTGTTATATCAGATGAGATTTAAGTTTATCTGTATGTGTGTGTGTCTGCATGAGTTTATGTGCACCACATGTATAGAGGTCCTCTTGAGGCCAAAAGGCATCATGAACTGAAGTTACAGGTGGTTATGAGCCACCTGGTGCTCGTGCTCGTGCTGGGAACCTAACTTGGGTCACTTGCAAGCGCAGTGCTCCTAACCACCTAGCCATTTCTCTAGCCTTGAGGCCAAAAGGCATCATGAACTGAAGTTATAGGTGGTTATGAGCCACCTGGTGCTCGTGCTCGTGCTGGGAACCTAACCTGGGTCACCTGCAAGAGCAGTGCTCCTAACCCCCAAGCCATTTCTCTAGCCCCTCAAGTGAGATTTTGCTAAGGTGGTGTGCACTGACCAGTGGATACAGTTGATGTCAACAAGTTGATTTATTTTGAATGATTTTTTTTGCTGTGAACTTTATCCTAATGGAGGCGCCATCATCTCACCTGTGCAGCCTGCTCTGCCTGTGTCTGGCTGAGCTGGGTTT